TAATTCCATCTGGAAACAGGTAGCATGGGGTGAAAGCGACTGCATGGAGGAAAGTCAGCATTAGCTTAAAGTGGCCCGTTGTCCGAATGAGCTGAGTTTGGACAAGATAAGTGAAAATAAAAGTCCGTGTCAAATGCTGTATATTCATAAATAAGAACCATCTTAATTTATAACATTTTAGTTAAATAATTCGTGAAATTCTTAACTAATTGTATTGTTAGCGTTCTGAATCTTTGATTTATTTGTCCTCATTTATTGTCCAAAAATGGAAGTTGTATTTCAGCTTTAAGCTAATTTTGCTGTAGGCATTTTTGATAATTTTACAATTTGGACTAAATAATGCATAATGGAAATATTAAAAGAATTAAAATGCAATTAGAACAAGGATAAATAAACATCTATTAATTAGGTAAATTACTCTTTTTTTTTACTATTCATTAACTGTTTCTTAGTTAGATTGTAAAGACTTTCAGTTTCCCCACTTTTGGGATTATTTCAATAGAACTGTTCGAAGGGTTATACCAAATATTTTCTTTGTAAATGATTAAATTCATCGTCTTAATCTATAGGGCATACAAAAAGCTAAGCCTTGATGAGACCTCAGTAGCCCTTTCTGGGTAATTTCCTGGGACAAAAGTGATCCCGAAATTACCTAGGCTACCTCAACAGTACAGAGGAGACAGGGCACGGGGATTGGACAGCGTTTATTCTGATTATGGGGCATGGACGCAAACCTTAGTACTTTAGATACAATGCAGTGGTTGTAAATTTTGTCTGGATGATTGGCCTCTAAACTCACAACCACTCTTGATTGCTACCCTATCGGTAGCATGTCTGTACTACCCAGACTGTTCGAGCGTGTGTGGTCGCTCCACAAGTCTTTTATGCGCTGAATAATTTATCATCGAGTTTCAATGCACGTGCGGTGATTAATCTATTGCTATATTAGTTCTGCCTTTTATTTAATCTGAACTTATATTATCAGTCCTTATATTATTAATTAAATTTTTTCCTCCATTCAAATCGGCTCAATTGTTCCATCGATGCTTTGATACGATGAAGTTGACTTCACTCTAATTAGTTACCCTCTTGCTGACTTGAGTGGATAAACGCCATATTTTCATTCGCTTTGAAGTTTCGAAATCAATGCACTTGTGCCTGTCAGTCATTTGTCACTGATTCAAGCGTGCGTAAATTTTCTCAAAATGGAAAATCTTTATTTTCCAGATTTATTTATGTGTGTTTGAGAATTCATTATCACGGGCCGTCCACGTTGCAACAACGTAGTATTGCAATGGTTGTAGGAATTATGACTTATCTATCTACTGAAAACCAACTTACCAAGTACAATCCTATTGAATAACAATGAAATACAATTGTATGCGGGCGCCAATTAATTAGAGATCCTTCAATTTGTTTTTAGGCCTCAAAGAAATCAGTGTGCAATGTGCCGATAATAGATCATCTTTAAACCCTTGATTAAAGGTAATTATGAATAAAGTTTTTACCCTAAACCTTTTCTAGCTCACAAACCACATTTGCGTAATTGAATCCCTCCTCCAGGTCCCAACTTGAACGACACGCCCTACGAAAATTTTAGCTTAATTGAAAAATAGTGACGATAGTGCAACGTTGCTCTGTAATGTGTCAGATTACAAAGGAGAGAGCACGAACAAGTAGAATCAGGTATTTGCGGTTCTCAAACAGAATTCGTGATAGTCAGCAAAATGTCTACACACTTGTGAAGGGAATCTTGTCATTAGACAACTTGGCGTCCAAACACTTGTCCAATATAAAGTCATAAAAGCCATAAATATATTTTAGTAAAAAGAAAGAAAAGACCATCATGTGAGTTGTCAGTCTTCTGTCCTCTCATTTAAAAATGTCTGAACGAATACATGAATAGTACCCATAACTGAGTACTGGTAAATATGGTAACATGAACCATACTCGGGACTGTACTGTATCACATTGTAGATATAAGGGGCTAATTTAATTATACGTACATGGGGTGCGCGATAGACTTACCTTCACGTGATGCACCCTGGACAACGTATACTTATACAGCAATAAGGTCTATTAACCGGCGGTTGATTTCTCACTTCAAATTACCATGACCCCATTGTATGTCATATTCCACCACTTCCACAATACTCACCTTACCCTACTCTCTGTCTATGTGCCTGTCTGTCTCTTAAGTCTGTGAATCCTCATTCTGTCACCCTCTCGGCTTTTTGCAACTTTGATGTTCCTTCTCCTCTCTGTGAAGCCCGAAGCCAACTAAAGGGCTAACGATAACTAATAAAACGCCTGTCATTTTAAATTAGTAAATGACCGTGCAAATGCCAAACAGGAGTGCAGTTAAAGTTTACAATGATTAAATATTGCAAGAATATAAATGTACATAAAATTCGTTAGGTTAGGAATAAGCATAACGATATTTTTTAAACTATACCCTTTAAATAATAATTTCCCAATTTTTTATCGTTGCACATGGTTAAAAATGTCATAATATCACTCCGCTTTAAGCTATCTGAAAATATTTATTTATTTATTTTTCTTTTTCAAATTTCATCATTCAACTTCACGTAGGTGCCCGCTGTTCCCATTGCGTCTTTTGGGAGATCCTTGTAAGTGCCGAAAGAATATTTGCACTCTTGTGGTCGTTTGGATTCATCAACGGCAATATTCCACTCCTCAGCAATGGCGGGAATATTTCTTAACACGCTGTCGTTACCTTCTAGATTGGAAAAAGAAACATTTGAACACATTACCTGTGTTTCTTTTACGTTTTAAATCTAAGTAATTTTGTGTCAAATTATAATTACAGATAATGTCATTAACATAACACAAACATTAATGTCCATGTCGTCCCAGTAAAATAATGGCTAATATTAACACTATTATGTTTTTTTAATTCCTGCTTTTGTCAAAAAGATTTTATGAAAAAAGATCAATTACCGCATATTTCTTCAAATGTATATTTACAATCTCCTCCTACATCTTTTGGGGCTATCTCCTTCAGACCTGGAACTTCTTCGAAAGCTTTTGACATATCGCTTATTACCATAATCTTAAAAAAGTAGAAAGAGAGTTAACAGTACTTGCTTATTTCATGCTAATAATTATAATAATATCGATTTACCTTTGACCTGATTTTTTCATTCAGCCATTCAGAGTAGAGTTTAAATAATGCTTCGAAAAATTTGGGCATGTTGTAATAGATCAACTTGTTGATTCGGAATGGAAGACATTCCTACAATTTGTTTGAAAATAATATTAAAAATATAGATTTATTTTGACAAGACTTCCTTGAGCCCAGATATTTACGAAATTTCTGCAAGAAATTAATTTGACTCAAAATCTCAGCTAATATTAAATTTTAAAGTGATAATGTGTCAGGACTAGTAAATGCTCTGACAAATTTGTCACTATTCTACGGTTTTAACCTACAGTATTTTAACATACACTGATTCAAATAATTAGGTAAATCTTCATAATTCCCACACTATCTTTAATTTTGAATACTTCCATAGTGCCTAAACGAATTTTAATAAACTGTGCTTTTTCCTAATTTAAGGGATTCAAAAAGCTTTTCAAAAGGCGCAAGATAGGTGTTAAAATGTCATGAAATCCTTTACACTAATAGGCTCTTCAAATACGCATTCGACAGATTTGAGTTTTACACATCCTATGCAAATTTATAAACTACTCTTTTTAGAATCGATTGAAGTTGATCTTAGTACTTTTTTTGCAATCATAGGTACTGCTTTGAGTTAATGTGGGTATAATTCGATTAAGAATTCGATATGATTTAAGAACTTTAATAATGATGAAATCGTCGATTGTGCATCCATTCGAAACTGGTGACTTTATTACAGTGGGGTTTAATGGAGTAGAGAAAACTATGAAATAAAAATTTGCAATAAATAGTCTACCTGGAAATACTTGGTCATTAATTTGGAAATTTTTGGATCAAACACTTGAAATATTGTTTCCTTCTTCATATCCGTCATATCCATAATCATACACAAGCCACCGATTTGAGCTCTTTGATCAACTACACAAAGGTCCGTCCAGAGTTGAAAAGCTGCATGCCACTCATTTAGTGGGTATCCGGTCATATCACAATTAGCTAAATTTTATCAAGTGGTTAATATTTCTCAAATTGGCATTTATAAATCTTGAGTCGTTTTTTATGGCTGGAGTTAAACTTACCCATTCTCATCATCGCTACCACGACTCCATTTGAGGTAATACCAAGGGGTCCCCAGCATCTAGCAAATAGAAAAAGTACGAAATATGATATTATAATATGAGGTGTGCGATAGACTTACCTCCACGTGGTGCACCCTGGGCAACGTATTCTCATACGGTAAAAAGTCTATTCACCGGCAGTTGACTTCTCACTTCAAATTACCATCACCCCACTATATGCTATATTTGACCACTTCCACAGAAACCACCTTACCTTTTTTCTACCGTTGTGTCTCCCTCTTTTACATCTTTGAAACACTCTTCTGTTCCCTCCCACCCCCCTCTCGACTTTTTTCCCTTCGATATGCCTTCCTCTCCGTGAAGCCTGAAGTCAACTAATGGGCTAATGATAACCATCAAAACGCCTGCCAATTGATATAATTAAATAAGTGTTATAATATAATAAAATTTAATATAATAATAAGATTGCATTATGAAATATCAAAAGCTGTTCAATCCCTCACTTTGCATCAGTGTATGTAACACTGATAAGGTGAGAATTCATGGCCACATTTGACTAATAAAAGGGCTTATTTCTTAGTCTAATAATATTAATCTTTTAATGCCAAGGTCATAAGACACGTTACCTTAAATCCAGCCATTTCTCCCAGAAGCTTCTCCTTTTCGGTGTGTCCACAAACCACTCTGGAACTCCCTCTTTTGGATTGGTTCTGAAGGTGCAGAATTTATCCAAACGAGTCTGCGCCTTCATATGATTGTATTTTGAATGTCTCAAGAATGACAACAGGAGATTATCATCTAGAGGAAATGAAGATTATCAGTTGCCGATTAAACTGAGTTATCAAGTTTAAGATATACGATGACCAGAATATGTGCTTTTCCTGTCTATTTTCTAAACATTAAGTACCGCACACATTTTCGCTCGTACGAAAACACGAGTTTCATAGTAGTCTGTGTTTTGTTCAATATTACTTATTAGTCATAAAATATAAAGTTTTTTTAAAAAATTACCAAATTTTATTTAATAATTGCTATTGTTATTGTATGGATAAATAAATACCATTTTAGTGAAAGGAGGTTGCTTTTTACAATTACAGTAAATATATCAATAATGTTTTTTCATGCATTTACCAAGGGTACATTGAAGGTGAGGCATCGACTTAATCCATCGCTTGAAGGATTCCAGATGAGCTGCAAGTTGTTCCTTATTCTCCTTCAATTCCTTTGCAGCACGTTTGCTGTAGATGGGCGGAAGAGGTTTGGTTGAATCATAGAGGGTGTAGGGCTTAAATTCACTCTGCTGACTCTTCGACATGCCTAAGAAGTTGTGCAATGTGTGCCTAACTCGAACTAAGAGTTGAATATATATGGCAAAGTAAATTTTAAGAATAATTTCACAAATCCCTTTGATTGGCTTGACTGCACACTTATAGACTATTTATTCTCTCAATTGCGATAAATGAAATGTATTCATTTCTACTCCGTTGTTTGTTTTAAACAAAGCCCGTATCCATTTTGATTGTTTGAAACATTAATGGGTATACTTAGGACGTAAATGTGCCAGAAATGTTTTGAAATGATTCGTTGCAGAGTGTGGTGCAACGCCGTGGAAGAATCAATGTACTTATTGTCCATATAGAGAATAGTAGAATTTTATTTCATTAAAGCAATATAATGTGAGGGATTTCGTAATTGAATTTCGTTTTCCTCGTTGTCTCAGTTGCATTTTTTGTCCAAAAATCTATTTTCCTTGAGAATTATGAATGTCCTCATCTAGATTTTTGAGATCTCTTGACCATATGATGACAAGGATTCAAGGCGAAAGTGATAAATTTCTTCAAAAATAATTTTGATTATGGTACTATTTTCAAACTATTTTAGCTCCTGTCTTTGAAAAAGACCATTGACTAGGGCAACTAACTCTTAAGTATTTTTTCAATTTCGACTTTTTGAATCTTTTTCTAATAAGATGCTTTTTAAGACACGTAAATCATATAAATTGATCTGAAATATTAGGTTGGCAACTAAGTCATTGACGATTTCAAATAAGAAGGCAAATTCGGAATTTTTGTTTATAAATATAACTTTATTCAATTAGATATTGGCCCTTCTTGTCGATGACCTTTTTCCATCGTCCTGGCAGAGTAAAAATTCCCCCTTCGTAAAATGTCTGGTCTTTGCTATTAAAAAACTGAATTAGGTGTGATCCGACATCATCCGCGTTGTTACAAATTTTACCATTTAAAGAGTTTTGGATGGAACGAAACAAATGGTAATCCGAAGGCGCAAGGTCAGGGCTATATGGTGGGTGTGACAAAACATCCCAACCCAGTTGCAATAATTTTTGCCGAGTAACCAAAGATGTGTGCGGGGGCCTTGCGTTATCATGATGGAAAACAACACCCTTCCGCCGATTTGATAATGCCGGCCGCTTATCTTCAATTGCATCCTTCAGTTTTTCGAGTTGTTCAACATACACATTTGAATTTATCGTTCGGTTCTGCGGCATGAGTTCAAAATACAAAATTCCTTTGTGATCCCACCACACTGACACCATAATTTTTTGTTTTTTGGCGAATCTCTGCTCTTGATACTGTTTGGGCTGGTTGATCTTGCTTCACCCATGATCTCTTGCGAGTAACATTGTTATAAACTATCCACTTTTCGTCGCCAGTAACTAGGTTCTTCAGAAATGGATCATTCTCATTGCGTTCAGTAGCGGCGAATCACAGATGCTAATCCGTTGCGTCAAATGAATTTCCTTTAACTGGTGAGGGATCCATAAATCAAGTTTCTTGACATAACCAAGGGTTTTTAATTTTTTTTTTCAATGCATGTATGCGACACATTGAGCAGCTTCTCTGCAATATCTCGTGTTGTGCTGTGACGATTTGAATCGATAATGGCCTTGATATGGGTTTCATCCACTTCGACTGGGCGGCCAGATCGTTGTGAATTTTTCAGTGAAAAATCACCGGAACGAAATCTTTCAA